CAGCTAATGTTTTGTATTTTTAGTAGAGACGGGGTTTCACCATGTTGACCAGGATGGTCTCGATCTCTTGACCTCGTGATCCACCCGCCTCGGCCTCCCAAAGTGCTGGGATTACGGGCTTGAGCCACCGCGCCCGGCCCTTTTTATTTCTTAAGTTTGAAGTGCATTGATTGCTTCCACATATTTGAATTGCCTGGAGTTCCTTCTGAACTGACAGCAGCCTGAGGGGCTGGAGACCAAGGACCAGGGGTGGTGCAGTCTGTTGCCTGGGCTCAGGCAGAGCTGTCCCTGCTGGAGCCACAGGCTGGGGTGAGGAGTTGGTGAGTCAACAGGGCACCTCCTGGCTAGGGGTTTTTCTCAGGCTCTCCTTATCGCTCCCAGAACCTGCAGAACCCCTTTGCTCCCTGGACCCTGGGCTCCCTGCTGTCCGCAACACACAGGTGTAGGGGTTTTGTTATTGGGTTTCCTGGCTGGGGCTGCAGGGATGGTGCTGGCTACCAGGGAGCGGTAGGGCCCACTGTGCTCAGAAGGGACCTGGAGCCAGGGAAGCCCCAGGGTCATGCTGGCCCCTGCCACCAGCCCTGCCTGCCTCTCCCATCCCAGCCCCACCTCTGGCCCTGCCCTCCCCCCTCATCCCACCTCCCCTCTTCCTACCTGCCCCTCCTGACCTCCCCCCTATCTAGTGCCTGACAGGGGATGTCCCACTGGCACTGCTCCCCACCAAGGTCATGAGGGTCAGACTCCAGTTCCTGCCCTCATGGGGTCCCAGAGGCAAGGGCAGTGAGGACCTGGCCAGCATCCCTGGCACGGGGTGCCTGATTCTCCATTGCTGTGGTGGGAAGCTGGCCAGATTTGAGGGTGATACCCAAGACCCCAATTCTCGACATGGGGCAGAGGCAAGGGGAATGGGCTCGGGAGTGGGCAGACCCTGCCACTCGGCCAATGGCCTCTGACAGGAACAGGCACGCATCCCTGAGTGGGTCTGTGGGGGTAGTCACTCAGGTTCCTCCCTCACCTGGGGAGGGGGCAGCAGGCTTGCAGAGGAAGGAGGGCCAGGATCCACCGGCCAGATGGGGTATTGGTGCCCAAATGGGGCTATTTGGGTGTGGGGTCCAGGTGGGGTCTGTTTGGGGCATGTGGCCCCAGGCAGGGTCTATTTGGGGTGCATTTCTGCAGGATTCTGCCTGTGGATTTTCCTCTAGCTTCAGGACAGGGTCTAGCTTTCCCACAGGAACAGGGAAGAAGTGTAGCTCCAGCTGTTTTCCTGTATGTCAGAGGCTGTAGCAGGAGGGCTGCTGGGGCCTGTGGAAGGGACTTCCAGGGTCAGCTCCCAGATGGGTGAGGCCCAGGCCCCTAGAGTTCCTGCCTCCAGGGCTGCTGAGTTTGCGGGTAGACCACAGGACACTGGACACCTTGCTCCCTATCTTGGCCAAGCTCAGGCTGAGGGCTTAGGGAAAGGGACTGTCCATACTTCTCCAGTGGCCCGAGGTTGCGGCCACTGGCATTGACCACATGACTGACCATCTGGACCAAGCCATCATATCCTGGATCAGCCCTGCAATTCTGAGGGTGATGTCTTTCCCCACCCACATCCCCTCTCCCCTTCCCTAGACAGGTGGGAGGGAAGCCTGTGAAGCCAGGGCTGGGAAACGCAGTCTTCTGGGCCAGTGAAGCGAGTCACTGACTTGGAAACCAGGGCCTGCCTTCTCTCTGCCCAAGGATGCAGCTGGTGGTTGGAATTCTTGGGACACTGGCACCATTACCTGTCGCAACCAACCACACAGTGGTGGACAGAACTGAGGCTGACCCTTGGAGCATGGATGAACAAAGGGAAGGACATGGCCTTGGATGTGGCCATCAGGGATATCACAGACCTGGAATGTGGGCTCCAGGGTAGCTGGCAAGGAGCTGCTCCTTCTGCTGGGTCAGCTGGGTGAGGGGCACAAGCACAAGGATGACCTTGGTCCCTGGGGCAGGCACCTTCTCTGGAGGCCACAGCCTCCTGGATGCAGGTAGCCTGGCTTTGCCACAGCTGGCAATGATGTGACCCGGGGCTCCTGTCTCCACCTCCATGGATTCCGCCCAATCACAACTGCAAGACCAGGGCAGAGCAGGCACGTGCTGGGGATGCCCATAGGCCCCGTCATACTCCCTGGCCCTGTGTCCTCCCGGCATAGCCTGCAGACACAGCACAGCCTGACTTTTCCCATTTTCCCATGGGGGCCCACAGGTCTCACCCCCCAAAGGATCTGGGCAACTGCACGCCCTCACCCAGGCATGGTGGGGTGCATGGCCATTGTCCCCACACTTGCAAGTATGTCTACCTTTGTGCGGCTCCCATGTAGCCTTAGGTCTTGAGCATCTGCTGTTTCTTTGACCCCTTTCCTCAGGTGTGTCAGGTAGCTAAGGCCTGCCTGTCCTTCCTCAACACTTGGCAGGGATGACACAAAAAGGGCAGGGGCTAATCTCTGCACCTCTGCAGCTCCTCACCTCACACTCAGGAAGGAGGCTGGTTCTCAGGGCAATGCAGCCCGGCCTGTCCAGCCTCTTGCAGAGGTGCAATTCCCTTTGCAAAGGTGTCCTGACATTACACCTCCCTGACCCCACACAGGCTCCCAGGGTGGCATACTTGGGGGAAGGGGCATCCTGCCTGACACCTCAAACTGCTGCCTAGCCACACTCTGCACAGCGGCTGCCCCACACCCCACCTGGCGCTGATGTCAGCATTTTTCCCCCAACCTGGAGTCAGGTAGGCTAAAGGAGTCACCGTGGGTGACAAGTGAGCCATCGGTGCTGGCTGCAGTTCACATGTTGCCCTGTGGAAGGTGCTGTCTCCCCCAGCGCTGCTGGCATTTGCTTCTTTGCTGCCTCTCTAACAGCCCAGCCCGAGATTCTCGATGTTTGCTTTAACCAAGAAAGTGACTGAGGTTAGCAGGGCCCTCGGGAATGTCTGTGCACTGCCTTCTGACTGCAGAAGCACGAGGGTCCTCACACTCAGGTCAGGAGCGCAGGACCACACAGCCTGGACAGTAATGGACTGTGGCCTGTGCTGCCTTGAGCTGCCGGCTGGCACCCCGTCTCTACCATGGTTTGTGACTATGGTCTTAATGCACGATCTCAAGCAGAATGCACTACCCTCACTCAGCTAACAGACTGGAAGACACAGACATCCGGGACGATTCCCCCTCAAATCCTGTTTCAACAGAGAGCTCTTCCTGCTGGGGCTGTCACCAAGGGTCTGGGGGCTTGGTCTGGGCCCTGGCCACCTGGGGGTCCGCAGTGCTGCCCACAACATGAGAAGCTGAAGGACAATGCGTATCCACCACTGGGTGGTGCCCCTCCCCTGCAGATGCTGAACCTGCTGCTCAAAGGGGAGCCCCAGCTCCAGCAGAGGCACCTCGGCAGCCTACTAGCAGTGCCTGGGGCACAAACCCACACCTTTGGCCTCAGCCTGTGCCTAGTGGTGGGGTGCCAAGAGGCCCAAGTTCAGAGGTTAGCAGAGGAGCTAAGCGGGTGAGCCACGCCCACATTCAGCCTGGGTCTGGCCCTGGCGAGGCTGCAGCCATACATGTTTGCTACCTCCCCTTCTTCCCCTACAAGACACCTTTGTCATGTGTCGTCTGGGCAGCGCCGGCTCCATCTGTAGGAGGCTGGATGACATCTCAGGGCATCCCCATGCAGACCACGGGTCCCAGCATACAGGTTCCTGGAAAGTTGTTGGCTGGAGCTCATCTGATACACACATATGAAGTACCTACTGTATAACGGTGCCTTTGCAGACGCTTTGCATGATTCACTGAACACAGCAGACAAAAACCCCTGCCCTTCTTGGGAGCTTCCATCCTAGCTAAGTGCCAGCAGCCCCAGTGGACGCCACAGGCAGGCAATGCTCAAGCCATGGCAGGTGCCACCCCTGTGGATTCAGATGCCTCCTCCCCTGCTGGGGTGGGGCAGCTGACCAGGAGCCAACCGAAAACATGCTGGCCTCTGGGCCAAGGGCAAGGCTGGCAGAGTGCCAGTCTCCACACACTGTGGATCTGCTAGTGGGCTGAGGCCTGGGGCATCCTCTGCAGGAGGACCCCACGAGAGTCCATTCCCCACCACAGGCCTCTGCTGTTCACCGCTGAGCAGACAGAACCCTTGATTGGCCTGGACAAGCCTGCCCACACCTCCATTATACCCAGCGGCGCCAGAGACCCACTGCTCCTGAGAACAGCATCCTTGGGAAGACCTAGCTGTGAGTACATGGCAGGCACAGCCCCTCTAGGCCCAATCCGGCCCCTCTAGGCCGGATTCAGCAGCAGAAGGGATTCCACCCCCACATCCATGGCCTCTCCAGCTGCCCACAGGCCCTGCAAAGGCTACCCTGAAGGCAGGGAGGCGGCTGAGGACAAGGCTCTTTGCCAGCCCTGCTTAGAGGCCAGCCAAGCCCGGCCATCACCTCTGGGGACCCATAGAAGGCACAGGCCACTGGCTCTGCGGCCCATTACCTGGAGGACGGACCAGCCCCAGCCCTGCCTGGAGGCCCTGGTGAGCTTGCCCAGCACTGCTCCAACCCCTCCCTGAGTCCACAGGGCAGAGCCAGGGGTGGCCACCTAGGCCTGAGATGAGGGGTTGGGGCTGGTCTACAGAGAAGGCAAACTAGACACGGACTCCTGTCAGCTTAGGCATCCCAGCCTAAGAAGGCAGGGCCCCCAAGAGAGGAGGGTCATGGTGCCACCCCCGAGCTCCCAGCAGGCCTGCTGCAGGTCAGAAGGGCCACATCCCATCTTTCGTCCCTGACCTCATTGGGCCTCACCCGAAAACGGGCGCCAGGGCAGTGGCCATGAATAGCCAGGCCACAAGGCTCGACAGGGGTGGGCCCCAGGTCACAGGGAGGGCGCTCTTTATTTCTGGAAGGGCCCTGGAGCAGGAGGCTGGCTCTCGTCCTCCTCCGCCCATCCTTCTGTCCTCTTGACAGGTGCTATGGGGCGGAGGTGGCATCAACAGCCTTCCTCAGCTGCTGCAGCAGCTCCTTGGGCCGTGGTGAAAACATGCTGGTGTCCACTCTTTGGAAGTCAGGGTGTGCAACCAAGGAGGCTAGCACGTCTGTGATGCGCCCAGCGTCAAAGGCTGCTTGTTCGAAGCCCAACCCAGCATCATCCTTGGCAGCTGCCTCCCCCAGGACCAGAAGCCTCTTCTCAGCAATGACCTTGAGGAAGTGGTAAAACTCTGCAAAGTTGATGCCTGAGCAGGACCTCATGATGACCTGGGCAGAAGAAAGAGGCCAGTGAGCTGAGGATGCAGTTCAGGCTGCAAAGGACCCGACATGCGCTCATTCCCCAAGAACGGAGAGAACCAGTAAGACAGAGGCACTGAGAAGCCGGCAGGGAACAAGGGAGTCTGAGCCACACAGCCCAAATGCCTCCCCGGGGCTCAGCCCAGGCTACTCCACACTGTCACAGCCTGCGCCTACCCACAGCTCAGCCTGACAGCCACACCCACCCCGAGCCTGCAGGCCTCATGAGGACCTGGCCCCAGCGGCCTCTTCGCGCAGCCGCCCCACCTGGCAGTGGTGGTGCCAGTCTGGCATGGAGTCCCTCCACTCGCTGACCTCCTCCTGCACGGCACGCAGCTCCTGCTGCAGGAAGCGCCACATGTTGGCCAGGTTGAAGCCATTGACCCAGTTGTGGTTGATGGAGATGGTGTCATCCTGGAAGAGTCACGGTGCAGGCAGGCCTGAACCCACGGCAGGTGCCCCCCAACCAGCCCATACCTCCTGTGCCAGGAACCCACTGTGGGGTCCAGCCCTCTGCAGCTAAAAGGGCCCTTCTGTCTCCCAGCAGGCCTTGCTCAGCAGGGAAGTGGGTATCGGACTGGGACCACCTCAGGCCACAGTGAACCCAGGGCAAGTAGATCCAGGGACCAGCAGAGGGTGAAACAGAGGCTGGGCCTCAGCGATGCCACCTTGTGAAGGGACCAGCCTCACCCGTGAGCCACCCCATCCCAGCCCTGCTCTGGCTGGGACAGTGGGGAGGAGGCGCTGCCGTCCTCCTACAGGAAGGCCCCTGACAGGAGTAGGAGAGCAGCACATCCTGGATCCAGGCCTCGGGGCGCCTCACTGCCTTACCAGGTTGTGCACCTGGTGGTGCCAGCCACTGGGCACAAACAGCATCTCGCCCGCCTCCTGCGTGACCTCCAGGGGTGGGCAAGCAAGCTGGCCCTGCGGGTACAGGTGTGTGTCGAAGAGTGCTGGGGAGGTGACATCGTAGGGTAGGCTGCCGTGGCTGTCCCGCAGAGTCTCCTCCTGCCCTGGGGGGAAGAGGAGCCACTTCTTCCTGCCACAGATGTTGACGGACCAGCTGAAGGAGCGGAAGATGTCAGCGTGGAATGGGGACCTGCAGCAGCAAGAGCGCCTGGTTCATGCCTGCAGGGACTGGTACGGGCTTTGCTTGGCACCCCAGAGGCCTCCAACTGAAGGAGGAGTGGCCCCTTGGTCTTGAGGCACCCACTGTGAGGCCTGTGCCAAGCAACCCCCTCTTGCCACCCTGAGCCTCCCGGCCGGCCACCCCACATCTGCGGTCTCACCAGCTGCCTGCAGGCCCTGCATACACAAAGCGGTAGTCGTCCACCTCCAGGGCGTCCCAGAACTCATTCAGCCAGTCAGACGAGAAGTACACTGGCAGGGTGAACGCGTCCTCGGCCGCCGTCGGGAAGTCCCTGTGAGGAGGGTGTGAATGTACTGCCAATGGCGCATGAGACACAAGAAGAGCAGGATGGCACCAGCGCGCACCTGAGACCACTCAGCTCCAGTGCAACTGCCAGATGCCTGCAGCCAACGGGCCCCAGCACCTTCTCTGAGCCAGCTGCTGCTGCTGGTGGGGTAGGGGGGGATGTTCTGACGACAACGGTTCTGCTTATGAAAAACCACTGCTCACACCTATAATAGTGTTTTGAGAGGCTGAGGTGCATGCATCACTTGATCCCAGGAGTTCAAGTCCAGACAGAGCAACATGGGGAAACTTAGGCTCTTACAAAAAAAAAAAATTAGCTAGGCGTGGAGGTGCATGCCTGTAATCTCAGCTACTAGGGAGGCTGAGGGGATCCATCCAAAACCTAAAATGCAGTAAAATAAATAAATGGGGAAAAAAAAAACAAAATAAAAAAAGGAAAAAAACCCACCACACTGACCTCCCAAAGAACAACACTTGCACCCATGCCGAAGACAATCCAGTTTCTTTTAAACAGATTAAAGTACTTCAAGGGGGAAAACAGCTCCTCTTTGTGCCGCCGGGGCACCTCCATGAGAACGGCCTCTGGGTTCCAGCGCTAGGGAAGGCAGCGCCTCGGTGCATCCCAAGCCCCATTACCTGCAGAGGTGCCAGTCTTTGAGGTAGAGGCAGCCCCGAGGAGAGGAGTAGCCCCCCCGGATGTACTCTTTCCAGTAGGCGATGTAGTCTCTGAGGGGCATGTGCTCTTTGGGGTTCGAGTTGTATTCCTGGACCCCACAGTTTGCCACTGGTACAACCACGTCTCCTGAAATGAAAGTCGGGCACGGTCCATGCCATCTCCCTGCGCCCCGTCCTCACTCCAAACAGTCTGCAGAGGACTCTCCAGGGGCCCCGCGCCCGGCCCCCTCCCCCTCCTGGCGCCGCTCTCCGGGCGGGGACCTCCCGAGCCTGGGTCCCCCGGCCTCCCCTCCCTGCCCGGGGTCTGCGTCCGCCGCCCCACCGTAGGTCCGCAGCAGGTGGTCGAAGTCGGGCCTCCCCGCGGGTGTCACCCAGCGCCGCCGGCTGCCCCAGCCCTGCGTGAAGGCGCTGGAGAACACGCAGGGCAGGTTGGGCAGCAGGAAGCCCCGCACGAAGTCGGCGTAGGAGAAGGCGCCTGGATCCGAGACAAAGGCCACGCGGCCCGGGGCCTGGCCGACGCCGGGGACACCGCCCCCCAGGCCTCGGAAGTGGCGGTCGGCAAGCGCGCGCGTCTCGCGGTCCATCCCGCCGGGCGGGGGTCGAAGGACCCCCGTCCTCACTTCCGCCGGAGCGAAAACGGTACAGACAAGCCTCGGAACCAGAAGCCGCAAGGCGCTGCGTTTTCGCCGGACCCGCGCCGGGGGCGCCCGCCCCGCACACCCGCCCTGCGCCTGCGCGCGACTCGCTGCGGTCTTCCCTGCGCAGGCGCCGAGTGGTGGCGGCGCCTCGGGTCTGCTCTGGGGCGTCTGGCGTCCCTCAGGTGAGCGACGGCGCTGGCCTTTTGGGGGCCCGGCCCAAGCACTTGTGTCCGCCCTCGGCTCAGTCCGCGCGCTGTGGCTGACACAGCCCGAGACCTCCTTCCCACATCCCTGGCGGGGTGGGGGGTATGCGGGCTGCCCTGGGAGAGGGGCGGGGACAGAGGCGGTCCTGGGCGCGGCGGTGCGGCGGTGTGGGGGCGCCTAGGGATGATGGGACCTGGAGAGAACGGTGGGACCCAGAGGGAGATCTGGGGGGGCCCTAGGATGGTGGGACCTAGCGGAGATGGCAGGATCCTGGAGGGGACGATGGGGACCTGGAGAAGATGGTGGCACTTGGAAAGGATGGGGACAGTAGGGACCTGGAGGAGACGATGGGACCTGGAGAGGATTGTGGGGTCCTGGAGAGGATGGTGGGGTCCTGGAGGGGATGGTGGGATCGTGGAGGGGATGGTGGGGACCTGGAGGGGATGGTGGGATCTGGAGGGATGGGGACAATGGGGGTCTGAAAAGGATGGTGGCATCTGGAGGACATGGGGGCAGTGGGGACCTGGAGAGGATGGTGGGGTCCTGGAGGGGATGGTGGGGTCCTGTACAGATGGGGACAGTGGGGGCCTGGAAAGGGTGGTGGCACCTGGAGGACATGGGGGCAGTGGGGACATGGAGGGGATGATGGGGACCTGGAGGGGATGTTGGGGACCTGGAGGGGATGGTGGGGATCTGGAGGGTACGGTGGGACCTTAAGGGGATGGTGGAGTCGTGGAGGAGATGGTGGAGATCTGGAGGGGACCTGGAGGGATCAGTCGTACCTGGATGGTACAGTGGGATCTAGAGAGGATGACAGGGACCTGGAGGAAAATGTAGGGGGGGAGCTGAAGGGGTCGGGGTGACCTAGATGGGAGAATGGGGCCCACAGGGGACCTGGAGGGCATGGCAAGGGGCCCCAGGGGACGACCCGTGTCTGGAGAAGATGGTGGGGAATGAGGAAGGGTGTGAAATGAAGTTGTGGTGGGAGTGTGGGTGGGGATTTGGGGCTTGTGTACACATGAGCAGGGCTGAAATCGGAGGACATCAGAGTGGTGACATGAGGAGTGTTTTGCCGAACTTGCAACTGGAGTCACCCCAAAAGTGGCAGCAAGGGAGTTCCCCACACTGTCCTCAGGTGGGACCAGGTGGGATTGAAAAGAAAGAAGTGCTAAATGCATGGGGAGCCCAGAGCAGTTTTTTTTTTTTTTTTTTTGGAGATGGTGTGCAGTGGCACCATCACAGCTCACTGCAGCCTCCACCTCCTGGGCTTGATCAGTTCTCCTGCCTCAGCCTCCCAAGTAGTTGGGACTACAGATATGAGCCATCATGCCCAGCTTAGTTTTCTTTTCTTCTTTTTTTTTCTTTTTCTTTTTTTATAGAGACAGGGTGTACAAAAACAACATAGACACAGGTCTCTGTGTTGCCCAAGTTGGTCTTGAACTTTTGGGCTCAAGTGATCCTCCTGCCTTGACCTCCCTAAGTGCTGGGCTTACAGGTGTGAGCCACTGCGCCAGGCCCTGCGTAGAGCCTTTGTTAGCAGAACTTTCATACAGAGTTGGCTGCAGCAGTCCTTGAGATGGGCAGTAAGGGAAGTGGGATGTCCTCCCTAGGTATTTGCCTGGCAAGGGGGGTGGGTTACGGAGTTTATAGGAAGATTTCAGGAATTTGGCTCAGGGGCAAGATCATTTTCTTTGTAGATAGCTTCTCCCAGGCCTGGAAATGTTCAGGGCCCTGGACTGGGTTGAAGCCTGATTGGAAAAACCTGTGGTTGGGGCACAGAGGGGTCAGGGTACTCCATGATCTTTGGCCAGGACATGAAAGTGGGGGGCCACGGGGGACTGTATGTGATGTATGTCTTGGTGTGCTGGAGAAATCAAAGACTTGACAGCTCAAACCTACCCACATGGACACAGAGGGAAGAGAGCAGATTTATTGCCCCCGAAGCCTGGCAGGCTGTGTGCATGTAGGCGCTCTGCGACAGTGTGCAGAGTCTGGGCAGTTTCCCAGGCGCCTTGACAGGGAGGCGGAAGGAGGAACAGTTAGAACTGCTCATCTCTCCCAGAGAATTGAGAGGCAGCTTTTGCTGGTTTGCTCTCAGTGAGAGGCCTTTGATTTGGGTTTGGTGGTCTGATGATGACAGTCTAGGGGCTGGCAGGCCATGACTGTGTTTTGTGAAATCTAGACACTGGCCTGTCTCATCCCAGACCAAACGGAGGCGTCCTAAGGGAGAGGGAGACACCTGCCTTCCCTTTATGAAGTGATGGCAATGTTGCTTTATTTACTTTTATGAGCAGGGATAAGGGAGGTTCTGGCTGCCTTCCCTTTATGAAGCAATGGCAGTGTTGTTTTATTTACTCTTATGAACGGGGATAAGGGAGGTTCTGGGAGTGCTGGGGCTCTGATCCTTGCTGGGGACTCTTTCCAAGGATTGTGAGGTCTACCCAGGAGAACAGGGAGGATCAGAAGAGGGGAGGACTAGGAGGAAAGTGAGTTTTGGGATTCGGAGTCCAGTGGAGGTGGGATTGGGGGCTATGGGGTCAGGGACAGGAGGTGGGGAGTTGCTTTGAGGATTGTGTGATTCAGTGTATGCTGTGGTCCCTTCCTGGTAAGCCCCATTGTGACTTGTTTGGTCACAGTATGGAATTCTTTATTTGTTTTTTTTACACTAGAAAATGAGAATGTCTGGAGAAGTAGCAATTGAGGAGAAAGAATTATCTCCAGTTCCATCCAGAGATGACCGTTTTTGTTTGATTTTTTTAGACAGAGTCTCACCCTGTTGCCCAGGCTGGAGTGCAATGACGTGATCTCGGCACACTGCAACCTCCGCCTTCTGGGTTCAAGTGATTGTCTTGCCTCAGCCTCCTGAGTAGCTAGGATTGCAGGCATGCACCACCATGTCTGGCTAATTTTTGTATTTTTAGTAGAGATGGGGTTTTACCATGTTAGTCAGGCTGGTCTCAAACTCCTGACCTCATGATCCGCCCACCTCGGCCTCCCAAAGTGCTGGGATTACAGGCATGAGCCACTGCACCTAGCCGAGATGACCATTTTTTATTTCCTGGTGTAGAGCTGGCATTTCTACGTTCCTTCACACGTGCATTCATTCATTCATTCTTTCTTTCTCTCTCTTTGCTCTTCTCTTCCCCTAGTGCTTGTCTAAATGTTCACACACACGTGCACACACACACACAGAGTCTCTTTTTCCATTATGTATAATATACATATGTCAACTTTTGCTGGTTTTAGCCTTTTTAAAAAATTTAACAATATGTTGTAACATCTTGCCACATGTTGACCTCGATATTGACAATTAATTGACCTTGCCATGTGTTGTTCCTTAATTGCTAGTAGTCATTTGATTTTGGTTGTGGCACATGCAGATCACGGGAGGTCAATGGGAAAGAATATGGAATATGGTTCCAAGTTTGCCTCATGGGGAAACTGAAATTCAGGTGGGCATTGCCTGGGAGGAGTTCCTGAAGCCCCGTGGTTGAGCCTCAGTTTCCTAAGAAAGGGGCATTTGGGCCAGCAGGTCCACAGCTCCCCCAGATCACTGAGCCCCTAGGACTTGGTGGGAGATGGAGGTCTTGTTCTTGAGATGGAACTCTGTGCTTTAGTTCCCTGGTCCGCAGGTACCCTCTGGGGTCAGTGTCACCACTGTGTACACAGGAGGCCTGGAGCATCATCTGTTCTGATGGAACTGGAACACATGCTTGTGTCATCTAGAGGCCCCCTAGATCAGCCTTGGCATTGCTTGGGAATGGCAAGAAATGCACATTCTTAAGCCCCACACAGCACTCCATCAGGGTAGTTTTTTGTTTTTAAGACAGTGTCTTGCTCTGTCGCTCAGGCTGGAGTGCAGTAGTGCAGTCTCGGCTCACTGCAGCCTCTGCCTTCTGGACTGAAGTGATCCTCCCACCTCAGCCTCCCTGAGTGCTGAGATTACAGGTGTGAGGCACTGCGCTCAGCCAGGATGGGGTTTTAAGTCAGCACTTTGGAGACATGCAGTTCGCACTGTGCAGAGCATGTGCTCCTCTGTCACTGTGTTGCATGCAGACAGCCCCGGTGGGCGTGTCTGCACCTTGTGGGTAGAGCTGGGAACCTCTGAGGGAGTGGAAAGAGGGTCTGGGGAGCAGGAGAGGGGAGCCTGGAAAGATTGGCCTCACCCTGCCGCCCCCGTGGGCACACACAGCCACCACTGTCCTCACTGAGCTTCTCGGTCACAAGGTAGTGGAAGGTGTGCAAGATGTTTGTTCTGTGACTGTGGAAATTAACTAAAAATAAGTTGTTTACTGGGTACTGAGCCTCACTCAGGGGACCCTTGAATACTGGAAATGCTGAAAGAGACCCATTGTACAGATCACCCTGTGTCCTGCAGACTTCCTCCCCAAGGGCGTCACTTGTGTGGGTTGGCTGCAGACACCCGTGGGCCCCTGGCCATGACCTCCCTCGAGGATTCAGCTGTGTGTTCTCAGGGTCAGCGTGGGTCCCCAGGCCCACACCTGCACTGGAGAAGACAGATTGCAGATTGCAGCAGGCAGGGACCCCGTGAGGGTTCCAGGACTCAGCACTGGTCACAGAACTAGGTGGTACAGGAAGGCATGGGCACGATCCTGCTTACATGTGGCGTGGTCATGTTCCACTCAGCACAAATTCATCGGGTGCCCATGGTGTGTAGGCCTTGTGGCCCTCCCATGGCAGAAGGTGCCTTCTGTAGTGGGACAGTCGTGAAAGTACCAGCTCTCTGGAGTTTTGCTTGGGCCATAGTTGGTGACAGTGCATTAGGATGGCAAGGAAGCCCTCTGAACAGAGACCTGAGGAGTAAAGCTGCCAGTGTGACGCCTTGGCATGGAAAGGCTGCTGGGAGCAGAGGGCAGAGGGCGACCAGGGCAGGGAGGT